AAGGGAGTAGTAAGAGGAGGAAGGGGCGGGGGGGGTGTTCGAGAGCCAGGTTAAAGGAATTTGGGAATGGGGGGATGGAACTCTTAACAGAGTTGAGAGTACCTGGTGTCAGAAGTGCATCAAAAAATCCTAGCTGGGAGTGTAATAGTTGTAATCTCAGTATTTGGGAGCCTGAGGCAGGAGGATTTAGAGTTGGAGGCCAACTCACACAAAAACAAAGCTAGGTGCTGACAGTGGGGTGGGGGACTAAGGGCTGTAATGGACCTGGGTTCTACTGACTTTTTTTTAAGTGTCTGTTTCTTAAGTAAAGGGGGAGGGGGAGGGGGGAGTTCATCTCATGACCTCTGTCATCCAGCTCCTTCACAAGCTTCCGTTTCATATTCCAGTGTTTTGAGTCTGTGTTTATTGGTAAATAAACGGTAATTTATTGGACCCTGTGCGTGGCTCTCTGTGCTTTTGTGAAAGTGTATGGTATATGTGCATGTGCACACACCGCAGAGGCTTGAGGAAGACATCTGTCCTGCACTGTCATTCTTATTCCCTTGAGACAGGGTCTCTCACTAAACCTGGAACTAGGCTGCTGCCAGCAAACCCCAGCAATCCTGTCTCCACCTCCACCCTCCCCCACCCCCTTAGCACCAGTGTTACCAGCATGCTCCTGGCCACACCTGGCTTTTTTACTTGGGTGCTGAGAATTTGAACTCAGGTCCTCATGCTTGTGTAACAACTTCTTTTACCCACTGAGTCATCTCTGGGGCCTACCTTCTGCAGTTCTAATGTGCCTCCTTAAGCCCCGGGGCATCTGTAATTGGGTCAGTTTTTACCTGATTCTTACCTCTTGGAGCCAACGCAGACCAGAGCAAGCAGCTCTAAGGTATAAATCCAGGTTGCCCAAACTCTAGATTTGAGTGTCTTTATCCTTAGAAAGGGATGATGGTGGAGACCAAACAGGAACCTCAGGATGAAGCACCTGTGAAAGGTTCAGAACACAGAGCATCAGGCCTATTAGTACTAAGGCTCCATTGCTCCTGCCTTCAGGGCCTGCATTCTGGTGTCAGCCTCTGGCTACCTTGTCACAGTTCCTTTTCTTTCTCTCTTCTTTACCTGAATAACTCTCTTGTAGAAGGCCAAGAGAAAAAGAGTAATTGGTTCCCACAAGAAAGGAGGGTAGAAGTGTCTTCCTAGGGCAGGCTGGGTGACCTTCCCCCGCTGTGGAGAGGGAAAGAGGCTGGGAGGGGGAGAGACCCAGTGAAACGTTTCGAGCCCAAGCAAGCTAGCTGCTGCTTGGACTGGCAGGACAAAGGGAGGGGAGAGGGAGGAGCCTGGGTGTTAAAAGTTTGTGGGGAAAGTTGAGTGCAGCTGAGGAGCCGGGCGGTGGCTGGGGAGAGCTTGAGGGCCTGACCTGATTTCCCTACTGCTCTCATGGCCTGGTGAGTGGCTAGCAAGGCTGAGGCTGAGACCAGTTAGAGGGACCCTTGAATTTATAGAAGACTTGAGAGGTTCACAGAGAGAGCCCCCAGAAGACCCTTAACAAAGGGCTAGGGACAGCTGAAGCAGTCACCAAAGCTGAAGAGAGGACAGGGGCTGGGATGAGGATAAGGGGAAGCGGGAGAGCTGGATGGAAGGAAATAAAGTTTAACTGGGGACTTGTGGCTAGATCGTGGGGGCTGTTGGGAAGGAGTTGGGGTGATGCCAAAAGGGGGCGGGCCTCTGGGTAGCAAGCCTGAATTCTTTTGCCTGGGGTCACCCTGGCTGGTTCCGGAAAGGGGGGCTGTCTAAGCATGTTGGAAGGGCCCCAGTCTGTGATTATGGGTTGTGATCTGAAGGGTGGAGTTACACTGAAGTTGATTAAGAAGGTTGGAGCCTGGGGAAAAGAAATCAGTTTCTCTCTCTCTCTCTCTTTCTCTCTCTCTCTCCCTGTGCACTGATGGGGTTGGAAAGTGGGATGGGGTGCATTCAGAGGCTCAGTAGCCCTTTATCTCCACCAGCCCATCTTGTACATTGGGGGGCTACCTTCTGGTCAAAGTGGGGAGCAGCCTTGCCCGTGTTTCATGCTTATTTCAAAACCACTCCTCTGGGTCCACCCTCCTTTTCTTCCTCCTGGGTTACCCAACCTGTTCGTATCTGATCCCCCTTCACTTCTAAGGTTTTCCCCCTCCTAACTACAGAAAGAGGGGTGTGTGTGTGTTCGTGCTCTTCATCCCCACTTGTGACTGACGGGCTCATGAGCCTGACCTGGACTCACAGTGTCTTGACGTGGCTCTCATCAGGAGCCAAACAGGTCCAATCTCAATTGGTGGCTGTCTCATTGGCTACCCAGGTATTGCCTTTATCTCCTTCCCTTTTAAATTCCAGAAGGTCAGGAGAAACGGCAGCTATAGACAAATAAGAGGCTGGCAGCATAGGGAGTGGATGTGGGGTCACCTACCATAATCTGGTGTATCCCCCTGGCTGCCCTCCATCCTGGCCTCAGGTCTCAGCGGCAGAAGAAAAGGCTCCACTCCTCTCTTCAGACTCCTCTCCTTCCCCCCTCATTTCCCTTCTAGACGCTGACAGAGGCAAAAATCTGCCAACTCAGGGGGCAGACTCAACCAGGGCTGCAAGCAGGCTTGGAGAATGACCCCCCGATCTCCAAACAGCACCTTCCGCAGCTGCACAGCCATCTCCAGTTGTCTCTGTCACAGTTCTTGGCCCTGGCTGTCCCTGTCTAGTGTCTACTTCCTTTGTGACACATGGGACTTCTGTCTCCTGCCAGAATCATGCGGCTCTGGAGGCCTCGGAGACTGGGGGTGGCTCTGGGAGTCTTCATGACCATTGGATTTGGCCTCCACCTCTGGGGGGTCCCATTCCAGAAAAGGTGAGCTACCTCCCCTATTAGCCCCCGCCCCCCGGGCCACATACACTTACTCTTCCTTGATCCCACCTGGGGCTGTGACACCCCCAAGGGGGAGGGTACCCAAAGGACCCTCCATACCTGCTGTTCATCACAAGAATGAACATAGCCACCTGCTCCACACACTGTCAAAGGACAGGACGTTTCCCCTTCCATCTCATTCCAGGCTAACCAGGCTGCAGTTTCAACAGTCCTGTGCCCCATCGCTGCAACCAGCTGCTGAGACTTGCCTACCCCGGCAGCGGCTTGTGTTCCTGAAGACACACAAATCCGGGAGCAGCTCTGTTCTCAATCTCCTTCATCGTTATGGTGACCGGCATGGGCTACGTTTTGCCCTACCTATCCATTACCAGTTCGGCTACCCAAGGCTTTTCCAGGCCTCTAAAGTCAAAGGCTACCATCCTCAGAGTGGGAACACCCAGAAGCCTTTCCATATCCTCTGTCACCACATGAGATTCAACCTGAAAGAGGTGAGGGGCTACAGAGAGGATGGGGGTAGAATGGGAAGGGCATGTGCTCAGGCCTGTGGCCAAGACCACCAAGAGAGGGGGGTCCAGGATGTGGGGGTTGGTCTCCAGGTATTACCTTATCTACAGATTAGACCCTCATCCATAAAGGTGGAATTTCCAATTGCCTTTTCTGCAGGCATCCTTCCTTGGGGTGGGGATGGTAATTGTTGAGAATCAAAGTCTTCCTCTCCCACTTTTCCATCTGAGATTTGTGTGTCTGTGTGCTGCATGTGTGTAAGCCAAAGGTCAATGTCAGGTGTCTTCTTCAATCACTCTCCATATTATATTTTGAGACAGGGTCTCTTTGAAGCTGGAACTTGCTGCTTCAGCTAGACTGGCTGGCCAGCAAGCTCCAGGGATCCTCCTGTCTCCACCTTGCCAGTCTTGGGGTTACAGGAACAGATTGACGCACCTGGCTTTTTTTTTTATGTGTTCTAGGGATCAAACTTAGGTCCTCATGGTTGCAGAGCAAGCACTTTACCAACGGAGACATCTCCCTGTCCCATTTATTTTATTTTAATGTGTACAAGTGTATTGCCTGCATGTAGATAGGTGCAACTGCATCGTGTTGTGCCTGCAGAGATCAGGAGAGGGTGTTGGATCCTTGGAACTGGAGCTTGCATCCTCTGCAAAAGCAGTCAGTGTTCTTAACCATTGATCCATCTCTCTAGCGCTTCCCATTTTTTTTTACAGGAAGGGGCACATGTAACACGGGTTAGCTTCAAATTTGCTATGTATCCCAGGGTGGCCTTGTACTCCTGATCCTCCTGCCTGTATACATTTCCCGAGGCTGGGATTATGGGCCTGCACCACATCGACAAGTTCATCTGGGGTTTATTCCAACCTCCTTCCTTGATCAACCTATCCCCAGGTGGCAATGTCTTGCCCACTCCAACCCTCATAGGCTGTCTCTCCAGGTGTCCTTAACTCTTCCTGGTATCTCTTTCAAAGACGCCACAAGGGTCCCTGCTCTACATTAGCTCCTTCTGACTCCTTGTCACTACCTTACTATGTCTGCCACATTTTGAGATTTCATTTTAGCTCTGTGTCAGGCCCTCAGCAGAGCACAGAACAGTCAGAAAGCAAGCAAGATGGTATATGCCTGTAATTCCAGAACTCAGGAGGTGGAGATAGGAGGATCAAGAACTCAAGGTCAGGCTCAGTTGGTAGAGTCTTTGCCTAGTATGCACAAGGTGCTGGGTTCAGTTCCTAGCACCACATAAACTGGGTGTGGTGGTACACACTTAGGAGGTAAAAGCGGGAGCATCAGGAGTTCAAAGCCAGCTTCAGCTATACATCAAATTCAAGGCCAGTCTAGGATATGTGATATGCTGTCTAAAAAAAATTTTAAATAAGAAAATGTTCAAAGCCAACTTGAGCTGCATAGTCAAATTTCTGCCTCAAAAATAAACAAACAACAAAGAGAGGCCCAGTTCTAAACCCCAGGAGACTGGTACTTATGAGAGAGATGAGTCCCCAAGCCAGCCATCTCTTGTATGTAAGTTTAACATAAAACGTGCGGGAGCTGGCTGTGGTGGCGCATACCTGTAATCCTAGCACCGTGAAGGGTAAGGAACACCTGGAAGGCGAGCTTAGGAAGATCAGCATGGGCAAGGCACTTAAAAGAAAGATTAAGTCAGGCATGGTGGTAACATGTTGCAACAGAAGCAGAGGCAGACTGATCTTTGTGAGTTTGAGGCCAGTCTGGTCTACACAATGAGTTCCCAACCATCCAGGGGTTACATAGTGAGACCCTGTTTTTTGTTTTTTGTTTTTTGTTTTTTTTAAAGGTGGGGGGGCTAGAGAGATGGCTCAGCAGTTAAGAGCACTGACTGCTCTTGCAGAGGACTCAGG